TGATTGTGTTTATCTGCAGTTAGTTACACGGATTCAGATATGAGATGAAATCGGATAAGAATGAACGAGTTTATTAGCCAAATGATTTATAAGATAGTATAGATAACATGATTTTTTATATTTAATGGAAAAAAGAATTAGAGTCTCTTTGGTTTGCATGATTGTTTTTGAGGGATTTAGATTTGGATTTAAATGGATTTGAAATCATTGATGTGTTTTATTTGTAGGATTTGGAATGAAATTGAATTTCATTATTTATAAATATTTTTTTAAAAAAATATAAAAATAATTAAATTATATTTTTATTAACCAATTATTACAAAACAAATGTTTTAAATATTTTTTAAAACCGTATTACATACAATCTTACGAAATCTCGTGAAATTCCGAGCACTCCTCGAGGATTTCAGAATCATATGTTTGAAGGATTTCAAATTCGTATAATCCAACAAACCAAACATGAGATTGAAATAAATTTGAAATGCTAATCCCCTCAAATCCATAATTCCTTCAAAACAAACGGGACCTAAAGGATTAAAATGCCTCTCACATAATTGCTTAAAGCTAACAACTATATCTGTTAATGAGAAGGACCAAATCAGAAGATTTTTGCAAACCACAATGGTCAAGTAGTCTCAAAACTGTAGGGACAAAAGTCGATATAATTTCTAAACTAGAGGGACCAAAATTGTAGTTTACCAAAATAAAATTGTTTGATGACGTAAGAATTATTTAATCTTGATTTCTTACTACGACCATACAAACCCTCGCTCCATCTCTCCCTTCGCTCTATCTCGCTCTCTGCCAGTGTCTATCGAAGCTTTTCGATTTCGAAACCCTAACACCGAGTCCCTCTCGAGTTTTCGTTCGATTCAATATCTCTCCACTCTCTCTCGGCCTTCTCATCCCTTTCTCTGTAAACGGATCCTCTCTCCTGACGGCCCGATGGCTGAAGGCAAGCTTGATCTTTCCGACGATCTTCTCTCTTCGAAACCCTCCGATCATTCTTGGACATCTAAAGGTAATCTACTATCGCTTGACGTTTGTATGGCATTTTTCTCTATATGGAGGATTTGTATTTTTTTGTGTGGTTCTCGTAAGTTAGGGTTTACTGATCTGTATGTAATCGAGTATGTGATGCTACTCCAATTTGGCTGCATCTGTCTTATTCTTCTCCTTGGATTGATTTTTTTTTCTTCTACTCTTTTTATTTTTTACAGTTGACGCATTGATTTGAGCTATCTATTCATTCTATTTCCTTCAAAATTGTTGAAAAGCGAATCTAGATTTGCAATCTGTCTGTACGTAAAAGTTATTAATGCAGTTCTGTTTGATGACATCTACTATTTAGTGGTTGGATGTATGTGTAATCATGTTCTAGCCGAGTTTCATTTCCGGCATTCATCTACGCTTGTAAGATGAACTTTCTTGTTAATCATAGATAAAATGAGCTACCTGGGAAGGTGATTCGAGTTCCAAAGTAGTTGACAACTTTATCTTCGTTTGAATCATGGTCCCAGGCTATCTAGCCTTCTTCATTTCTAATTGTGGCATCAGGAAATTACAGCTGTTTTCCACCGTAAATGTATTAGATCTAACACTTTGATTTGTTGTCCTCTTGCAGTGCCTACTTCTAGGTGTTTTTGTCTCATTAGTTTTTATAATATAGTAATCTCAAGTGATTGATAAACGCAATACTTGTAATAGCAGAAATGGTTCGGTACTTGAGAGATTTTGCCATTTGATGTGGAGGATTGTAATAGAACAATCTAAGTTTCTGTATTTTGGACAGGAAAAGAGCTTGAGTTTAATAGTCCGATGTTGTATCACTATGATGATTAAAGAACAAAACAAGGCAAAACCTGTTTGTTTCTTAAATTGATACAGCTTCAATGCAGTACATATAAAAGAGATCTATTTGTTTTTGTTTCAATCATGACAGTTGTTAAGTATGATAGAGAGGGGCCCATTTGGTGTTACAATGACTCTAAGCCATGTTCAACTATGCAAGTTGTCTTTCAATTGCCCATGAAGTTTTGCAGTTAAAGATATATATATATATATATATATTACTTTGGTTTACAAAATTGCAATACTACTGTCCTCATTTTCTTTAACATGCAATGGTGTCATGACAGTGGAAGCTTCTGGAGGGAATGGTGAAGATAAGATAACTGGATATGATTCCAAAGGTAGCTTTTATACATGGTTTGTAGTTTTGTAAGATATGATCGATAAGTGAATAGTTTGGGAAATGTTTTTCTTATGTTACTCTTCTCCGTCAAGTGCTTTGTTTTTACCTTCACAATTTTTGCGCTTTGCTTTTCTCATCTAAAGATCAAGCAGCTTTGGACAGCAGCATCCCCTTGTCTCCCCAGTGGCTCTATGCTAAACCAGGCGAGAGTAAGATGGTAAGTATTTAAGCCAATTCAGAATTTACTTCTAGATATGTCTATGAATATGGTATCAATGAAGTTGTCAAATTCGAATTAAATACCTTTTGAGTAGGCATGGTAATGTCTGATGGTGCTATACATTTTGCTAGACATGTGAAATGATTTTGAATTGCCTTCATGGGCTTCCCAGCAGGGGTGGATAAATGCACCATAGCAAACAATGAATTAAAATGGTAGCATCCTTAACGACTGTAAAAAAATTACACTACGTTGGAAAATTTTAGTGGGAGATGGCCAAATGGTTGGAGACTTGGAGGGGCTTCAATTCCTCTAGAATTGTCTCCCAATTTTTCTTCTACTTTTTTTTATGTTATCATTAGCAGCTCCCTTGATATTGATTATGGTTAAATTGCAGCAAACACCATAAGTATTTTTTACATCACTGCTGTGTTTTGGAATATTATAACTATACACGGATGGGAAACCTTATATACTCTGTTACTATGAGTATAGGAAATGCGTGCACCAAGTTCCCTCTCTCTTGGAAGTTCTGCTGATTCCAATTTGAAGGAGGCTTGGCGTTCAGATGGATCTGAGGACAAGAAAGATTGGAGGAAAACTGGAATTGAAGCAGAAAGTGGTCGCCGCTGGCGTGAAGAAGAAAGAGAAACAGGCTTACTTGGTAGAAGAGAGCGCAGGAAAACTGATCGCCGTGTTGATGTGGGTAGAGATACGCCTGATAATAGAGCACCTCCCTCTGATAGGTGGCTTGATGTTGGTAACCGCAGTGCTGGGCACGAGGCACGACGTGACAGTAAATGGTCATCTAGGTGGGGTCCAGACGAGATAGAAAAGGAAACACGGACTGAGAAGAGGACAGATGCAGAGAAGGAAGATGCTCATGGTGACACTCAAGCACATGCAAGTAGCACAAGAGTAGTTTCTGAGCGTGATCCAGACTCCCGTGAAAAATGGAGGCCGCGCCATAGAATGGAGGCGAATTCCAGTGGACCAGGTTCCTTTCGTGCAGCACCTGGATTTGGGATTGAGAAAGGACGGGCCGAGGGATCAAATATGGGATTTACTGTTGGACGTGGCAGATCTAGTGCTTCTGTTGTAAGGCCTTCATCTGCAAGTTCCATTGAGAAAAATGAAGGCGTCCCTGGCAAGCCAGGTATTTATGTGGATATGTTCTTCTATCCAAGGGGAAAGCTTCTTGATATATACCGTAGGCAGAAGCTTGACCCTTCTTTTGCTAAAATGCCTGAAAAGATCGAGGAAATACCTTCTATTACACAAATAACTGCTGTGGAACCCCTTGCTTTTGTTGCTCCTGATGCAGAAGAGGAGGTGAGGTCCCATATTTACTGTTGTCAAATTCCTCTTAATCTGCCTGGATGTTAATATTTTTGTCATCAACTCTTTGTTTGTGCTAAATTGTAAAGTGCATGCAATGTTCTCAGGCTATCCTTGGTGATATATTGAAAGGAAAAATCAGCAGTAGCGAGGTGGTGGACAATTCAATAAAAAATGTGGGGTCATCTGAGAATATTGCAGGCAAGTGGAGCTTATGGATATGAAAATGCTTCTTTTGTTCCTCTTTTAAGGGTTCTTTGTATCTAAGAAGTTTGATTATCCTTATTTAGATGTCTGGCATTTAACATCCACCAATAGTAAAGATGATGCTCTTCCCCCGATGGAGGATATGTTTGATCCAAATCAGAATCCTAGTCAAACAGTTGCTGATAGCACTTCACGCCTTGATGGTCAAAGAACGAGAACAAGAGAAGGTGAGTAACTGGTTAGTTAATACATGAACTCCACTAATTGTCAGTTATCATTTATGGACTAAATTTATTTAATCACATTGTAGGACGAGATGCTAATTGGGATCAAGAGCAAAGAGTCCCTGAGATGGTTTCACAAATGGATTCATATGCACTGAAAACAAGGTCAAACATCAGTATTACTGGTACCAGTCATGATGAAGCTTCTAATCATGATGTTGCAGATTTCACTTCTATGGGGCATCAGCACAATGATAATGTCCACCCATCTTCATTTGATATCAGCTCAAAGCTTAACGATTCTAATTCTTTATTTGCTACCCCATCTTCCGAGCAATATTGGACAAGAGATATGCAGCCTTCAGAGAATAGTTTGAATGAACATTTAACCAGGGGTATCCAACCCGAGGAGTTAAGTCTTTACTATCGTGATCCTCAAGGGGAGATCCAAGGACCATTTCTTGGTGTAGACATCATTTCATGGTTTGAGCAAGGATTTTTTGGGGCAGATTTGCCAGTTCGAGTGGCAGATGCACCAGAGGAAGCTCCTTTCTTGGAATTAGGTGATGTCATGCCACACTTAAACACTAGGCATGACTACACCACCAGCAATGATCCAAGTCCCAACTTGGAAATTTCTGATGGTTTTGAAGGAAACTTTGATGCTAGAGTTTCTGTGCCTGCTCCTGTGTCTGAAATGGGATGTCAATCTGCATTAGATAATCAGCACTGGCAGTTGCCTGAGTTTAATGGTTTGCCAATAAAGCATGCTCAAGCAAGAATACCTGAGCATGAAGGCCCTTTGCCGCTTTTATATGAGGGTCAAAACTTCCATGATGAAGGTTAAATATCCCCTCCATTTGTTTCTCCAATTTAACTTTCTATTTCAGATTTCTTCTAATGTTCTTTTCTTCTTGCAGAAATTGTTTTTCCTGGGAGGCCTGGTAGCAGTGATTCTTCAGTAAATTATATGAAAAACCACACTGTTCCCACCGATTTCACTGAACCAGGCATACAAAATAAGAGCGACAATAGATCGCATCCTCTGGGGTTGTTATGGTCTGAGCTTGAAGGATCAAGTTTAAGGAATGATAAGGCATCTAAAGCACCTTTCACTGGTGGTGTTCAGCAGCAACTTGTGAACCCCCCAAGTCAGAGGGTCTCCCCTTTCAACGCAATGCCTGATTGTATTCATGCTGCTGATGCATGGCCTGACATTTATAGAAGGAATGCACTTTCTGATCCCAACTTATATAAAGATGCGATGGATGCTCGCCAGTTGACACACATGGATCAAGAGGCTAGTGACTTTGATCTATCAGAGAAACTTAGGTCTCATCAAATTCAACAACAGCTGCTCCAACAGCATAATCTGCTGGCCTCTCATCCTCACTTGAACGATTTGATGCTGGACCAAGTTCAAGGTCGAGGGCCTATAAACCCACAACATTTAGCCGGTCAAACAGGGCAAGATCTAGATCGCTTTTTGGCACTTCAGTTGCAACAGCAGCAGAGGAGAATTGAGCTTCACCAGCAGCATCAGTTGAATCAACAGCAAATGCTACTTAAGGAGCAGCAATCTCGACAATTGCTTCTTGAACAGTTGGCCCAAAATCAGATGCGTGATGGGCGTGGACAATCACGTGCCGATGTTGCAAGATCCAATAACGCGCTTGATCAGATTATTTTGAAGCATCAGATTTTAAATGAATTGCACCAGCGATCACAACGCCACCCACAAAATGTTGACCCATCAATAGAACATCTGGTTCAAGCAAAGTATGGCCAGCTGCCTCATCAAGGGCATCCAAATGATCTCCTGGAGCTCATAGCACATGCAAAGCATGGACAAATGCCGTCTTTGGAACATCATATGCTTCAGCATGAGCAGTTTCATGGAAGGCAGTTGCCTATGGGTTTAAGGCAGAGAATTGAGATGGAAGAAGAGAGGCGGCTTGGTTCTGCCTGGTCTTTAGATGAAACGACTCAGTTCCTAAGAAATTCTGGTGGTCTTCACCGAGCTAATTCTGCTGGCCTCAGTCCTTTAGATCTTTACAAGCAACAGAGACTATCTCCCGATGAGTTGAATCATCTTGAGCGGAATCTTTCATTACAAGAGCGACTTCAGCAAGGTGCTTATGATCCTAGCTTACTATCATTTGAACGCTCTATGCCTGGTGGTGGCTCACTGATGAATTTTGATGTTAATTCTATGGCTCAAGCCCAGAAGTTAGATATGCAGGAGTTTAATGCTCCGTTGCACCATGCTAACCAAGTAGGCGGGTTCTCTTCAGGGATCCTCTCCCATCAATCTCAGCATCCCATGGTCTCTAATCACTTCCATCCCTCACATTTGGGTGCTATGGAGGGACCTTGGTCTGAAAGTAATGGACAGATGCCAAATGACTGGATCGAGTCGAGGATTCAGCAGCTGCATGTTGATAATGGAAGGCATAAAAGAGAGATGGAAATGAGAAGGATTTCAGAAGATCCAAGTCTTTGGATGTCTGCTGGAACGAATGATGACCCCTCAAAGAGGTTGCTTATGGAACTACTTCATCAGAAACCAGATAGTCAGTCGAATGAAATTTTGGGTGTAAATAATGTTGGACCATTTGAAAGTGCCGAACCTTTTGGATCTTATTCTGCGATGAACTCCAATCATTCATTCAACCTCTTAAATCAAGAAGTAGGGCTTAATCACCCATTTTCTGTTGCATCTTATGGCCCTAACTCAGGCACTGGCCAACAAGCACGGTTGGTGGATGAGACAGTATTAGGTTTGGAAGGCAAGGATAGAATGCTCTCGAGATCCAGTTCTGGAGTAATGCACGAGGAGAGTCCATTCTTTTCTGATGTTAATGAATCCTCTCAGGTAGCATATTCAAACTCCAGCATGGTGGGAATGTCGTCTATAGAACGGGGATTATTTGACGTAGAGGGCAAAAGGAGATTACTTAAAAGCGAAGGTAGCATGGTGAAGGGTGTAGCTGCAGAAACTCAAGAAGCTATCATTCAGCAGTGTGGTGATACTGATTTAGACGATGCCGAAATGCCAAATAATATTGGCAGGCATGCCTCACCTGCCATTGGTAATTTTCTGTCTGTTTCCCTTTCCTGGTAGTTTATGTTTTCATGTGGAGTAATATTTTTGACGCTATTCCAGGTGGGAATAAAAGCTTGTACAATGACAAGGTTGGATCTCCCGAGACTTTTGCAGAGGCTAAAGATCGGTAAGAAAACATACCTTTAATATTATAATTGTGGATGTGTCTGGGCTACCAGTTGACCCCAGCCTCTCAGGAGGTCAAGGGTTCAAACCTCACCCAAGGTGAGGAGGGTGTGTGAGTTCATATGTTGTATATAAATATAATATACTTCAAAAGAAAACCATTCCTGGAAGGGATATGATTTGATACCTTCTAATACAAAAACAATTCTTTTGTATCTCTTACTACAGATTTTAGTTATCTTACAGCTTCTGTTAACGATAATTTATTTACACATATGGTGATACAGGCGATTGCACATGAAACCTACAGTTACCTATATCTGTCGAAACCTATATTGACATCACCAATAACCTTCCTTGACCGTAACATCCTTTGGGTAGGATTAGGAATATGGAATCATTTTTTACTTGACCTATTGTAACTTAGTTGAGAGAAGCTGATGTAACAAATGTTTGAGATGATCGATCTGATTTTCAATTTGACTTTTGATTCCATTGTTTAGAAGAGGATACTTGTACTAGTAGGTCAATGGAGAGGTAGAATTCGCCTGTAATTGACATGAGAGGAAGTAATGAAGAGAGATTTGGTCGAGTGTCGTATATGGAAGGATTTGGCCTTAGATAGGAGTTTGTGGAAAGTATAGTTGTTACTGCAGTCACCCTTGTAATGGAACATTAGCAACCACCATTTGCAGTGAAGGTCTGAGGGGTGTCAGTGGATCAGTTCTATCCTAATAGAAGAATTTTGATTGAAGAAAACTTAGCTGAGTAATAAAATGATATTTAAACCAAATTGAAGACTTAACTGGGAGAGATCCACTTAGATGCTCTAGAACTGGATTAACATTTTTCTATTGAATGAGCTAAACAAGTAGCTCATTTCATTGGAAATCTTGTTCTAGTTGATTTTCATGATCTCTTTTCTTGTCTGATTTTTTCCCCTTTTCTCGTATTTTTATTTCATGCAGTGATTATACTTCTGTATGTGATTGCTTATTCCATTTTTACCTCAACCAAAGCAATGTATAGCTTTTTATGCACGAAGATAAATTCCTATTGCAACAATATCTGTGTCTTTTGTGAGTGCGAATGCGATGTTCTTGTGACACCTAATATTTTAATTGTGAATATATGCTGGACACATGTTTTAACTATAAATTTGGTATTCTACAATGACCTTTTTTATGTGTTGTTATTCCTGTTATATTGTTTGTGTTAACATACCCCCTTATGTTTTTATGGCTGAGTGCTGATATATCTATTTTTTCTCTACTGCATAAATTGCATAACGGACACATTTAGGCGATGTCTGGCAAACATTATCTAGCTTATTCTTGAGCTCATTTCAAAACCTCGTTTGGATGAGCAAAAAGTAGTATAGCTAGCTTATTGGAGTAGTGTTTCAATAAGCTCCAGGAGCTTTTTGCCACGTTCTTCGAATTATATCCCTGATTAATGCTAATTGTTATTTATTATTAGTATAGATCAATTAATATTAGTTATTAATTAAAATTAATTTCAACATATTAATTAATTTTAATTGTAAATTATTCATTAGTATTTAGAACTATTATTAATCTTATCAATTATTTTTAGATTATTATTATTTAATATATTTAGTCGTCAAAACAAATATAACAATGTTAAAAATGTTTTGTAAATTACATAGAAGTTAAAGTTATATTTTTTTGTTTCATAAGTAATAAAAATTGATTTAGTATTTTAAAAAAAAAGTTAATCTACTATTACTTTTTTGAGAATTAATTTGTTAATTAAGGTATGTAAGGTTGACTAACTTTGTATATTTTCATGTTATATGTTGAATGATTCGACTGTTATGTCTTTAGTTGTTTGGCTACCATGTTCCTTTTATCTTGTTGAAATCACAATTTCGGTACTAGAGTTGGTTTAGCCTTGGTTTTTTATTTGTGCACTGACTTGAACTGCGGGCTTCTTGATAGCTCCTGTAGACTGTAGTCATGGTATCTTATCGGTTTTTATATATGAAGCTGTGCGTAACTGAACTGAATACATAGTGATCTATGGTGATTAGCATATATAGCATTTTCTTTTGTACAGGTAGTGGTTTCTTATTGAGTCATGTTTGCAGGGTGACCTTGACATCCAAAAGGTCTGATAATATTTTGCTGAAACGTCCACCAGTCTCACGGGCATCATCATCCCATGAAGGGTTATGTGAGCTGGCGTCTGATTCCACTTTCAGAGGGAAGAATGTCTCCAGTATGTCTGTTCCTGAAGGTACATTATACTGCAAATGTTTAAAATTTATTACATGCACGAGACCGAGTCCATAGTTATGTCAATATGACTGATCTAGCCGTAGTAGAAATCTTTTGCTGCATTTGGTATGATGAAATAAAATAAACAATGGATTGGTATTGTAATCATGGTTTTAAAAATCGTTTGAGGCGTACGCCTCGAGGCGAGGCGGCCCAAAACCGCACCTGAGGCGGCGCCTCATAGACCCTGGATGAGGCTTACGCCTTGGTTCAGTGAGGCGTATGCCTCAGATGATTTGCTTTGGTAATGGTTTTTTTGGATTTTTTAATAAGCTTTATGGCAGTAGTAGTACTTCTTTTTATAGTATACATGTTCTTTTTTATTTTGAAAAACTAAACAAAGCCCAATTGTCCCAATGTGTACTTTTAATATTTTAAAACCCAAAAAGCTAGGACTTTTTCCTCTCGATCAAAAAGTGTGGTTTGACCCTTTCTCTTCCTCCAATTCCATGCCTTCTTCATCCGATCTCATGATTTCACACTCTCCTCTGTCGTGTCATAGTATTATATATTGTATATAAATGTATGTGTATATATGTTTCCGCCTTGGGGCTTCCGCCTCGTGGAGGGAAACGCCTCGAGGTCCGATTCCGCCTTTTAAAGCCTTTATTGTAATAGATTGTTTCCTTCCTCATTCCACTCGTTTTATTCCATTCAAGCAAACCAGACAAGACACAGCATTAACAAGTATGCATTTATTTGCTTTGAAGCTTGACTTAAATCTCAATGGTTCAGTTGAACATCTTATCAAACACAAATACATGAATGCGGTCACAATATATTTTTATGTGTGGAAATGATCATAGCTGAGATCCTGCAAGAAGAGTATATTTGTGGATTGGATTGCATATGGATATATTAACTTAAAAGTGTTTCACATGTTGTAAGTTGCAACATATTTGACGGTTTAGCAATGTCATGAAGCAATATTGGTTTTTGTCATGACAAATAATGGTTGAAAAATAGGGAACACCAATTATCGGTTGTTGGTGTAGTTGTCTCTTTGAAGCTTGACATGTGAGTTCTTGGTCTCTGTAGTTTCTAAACATATATGTTTATGCTTGAATTTTCATTCTCGAAACATATTCCGCCGGGTAGTAAAGCATCCACAAATGTGTTGAGAATAGAATGTTGTCTCTCAATTCAGTGTCCAGTGAGAAGTTTCGCTTAAATTGCGACATGCCTTGATAATTGAGAGACAACAAATTTTATGAGAACACCACGTTTGACTGAGTATACATCTTCGTCTCTATGAAGTTATTTACTGGTTTGTCATGTTTTAACCTTTTAAAACGTATATGAGAAGTGACCACGTTGTACCTATATTTTGTTACCCTATATTTTATCCTAGTATAAAATTCTTTGTTTTTTAGTTGATAAAGTACAATATTCCATCTTTTTAGGTCAAAATGTATGGTGTTTTTATTGATTTAATTTCAGAGTTTCTAGGTTTCTAGGCTACTTATATTATGAAGCTTTTGTTCTTGATCTCCTGATTGCAAATAATATGACAGGTGGAAGAGAAATTTTGACAAACCAAGTCTCTGAAAATATGATTGGTGGCAAGAAAGATGTTCGGTTTAGGAGAACATCATCCTTCAGTGATGCTGATGTACCGGAGACTGCTTCTTTCAGTGACATGCTTAAAAGCAATGTTAAGAAGCCACCTTTGCCAGATACTCATGCAACAGCTTCAGCTTCAGAGGGCGGTGCTGTAGATGGACATGGGGGCAAAACTGGTAAAAAGAAAGGTAGAAAAGGGAGGCAAATTGACCCAGCTCTGCTTGGTTTTAAGGTTACTAGCAATCGAATTATGATGGGCGAGATCCAACGTATAGAGGATTGACATGTTTGTATCATTTGTTAGCTTGCTTGTATAGACCCCATTTTCTTCTTTTTGGGTATTTTTCTTGATGGATTCCGTATACCAAAGTATTTTTGCATCCTCCTGATATGTGATGTTAGGGGTTATATTACAGGTTAGGTTGCATAGAGTTTTGCTTGTATAGGCCTTGTTTTCAGATCTAAATATGTAGTAGCAAGAAGCAGACAACTGTATATTTCTTGATTTTCCATTGCTTATCTGAGCACGCATTGTTTAATTTGAATTGAAGTGCTTCAGAGAATTTAACATAAATTGCTTGCTTGTCTAACATGGGTGATGCCTGTTTATGCTTGGGCTTTGAGGCATTCAGAATAATCTCTTTTTAATATTAATAATATCAACTACCTTAGTAGCCTGGCTGGGTGGTATGCTATGCTATTATACTTTGATTTTACCAAGATGTTACATCCGTTTTGCCATGTTGGGCAAAATTTAAATTCATTTATAAATACACAAAATGTTTGGCCGATTTATTGTACTAACGTATTTTATTTTTCATTGTATTAAACGTTGTATTTTTTGTATGGGTGAATTCACTTTGAATAGGAGGTAAGGTGAGATGTTGGATCCTCGATCATTTTTTACTTATTTTACCCCATCAATTGCGTTTGATACGAGAATTGATCTGATACATTTCGTTGATGTAAATCTTGAATTAGGATTGATCCAAATGTGGAGACCTTTCTTACCATTCTCATTGGAACTCAATTGAACTCATCGGCCCATGATCTTTTTCACAATTTGTAATGACTTCCAAATTGGTAGTGTTGGCTACATGACATGTATTGCTTGCAAAACCCTATGATTTTGCGAGTTGGATCTTTGTCGTACGAATCTTAACCTCTCTCTTGGAATTTAGCATTTTCCGAATGAACATTAATTTCTACCTTGAATTTTAGTATTTGTCTAGGGCCCACAAAGCCTCACATGTTTTGTGAGCTCCGCAACTTTTTCCTACTTATACTCTATTTTCATCTACATTTTCCTACCTCTGAAGCAGAAGCTGTTGCATGAGTATCCGTCAAAGGTGGCTTCTTGATTGCTTTGAAGGATGATGTTCTCCTAAACCAAACATCTGTCTTGCCATCAATCATGTTTTTTAGGGACTTGGTTTCTCCTTCACTTGTCATATTATTGCAATTAGGAGATGAAGAACAAAGCTTCACAACATAGACAAACAGAAACTCCAAATTTAAACCAATAAAAACACCATGCATATTGACCTAAAAGATGAAGTTAACTAGAAAGCAAAAATATTTATACTAGAGGGCCACAAAGTACTTGATACGACGTGGTCACTTCTCATATGCATTTAAAAAGATATGTGCATGACAAACCAATGAGTAACTTCCTAGAGTCGAAGAATTATTTTTAATTAATTATCAACGAAACTTCTCATTGCACATTCAATTGAGAGACAACATTCTATTCCAAAACATTTGTAAATATCTTTCGACAAGACAATGAAAACCCAAACGTAAAACATATATATTTAGAAACTACAAAGATCAGGAACCTACATGTCAAACTTACAGAGACAACTATACTAACAATTGATGATTGATGTTCCCTAATTGTCAACGTAAGGGTGTGTGAGGTCGCGCACGAACCTAATATGATTTTACTATAAAAATACATGTGATTCGACCGTTTTCTTATTTAGTTGTGTGGTTGGATATTGTTGTCATGAATCTCCAATACCGTATATCTACTCTTTCTCGTAGGTTCTGTGCTATGAATTATGACCATTTCCACACACGAAAATCATAAGGTTTTACAAGCAATATTATATAGCTATGATTCCTTTTATTATGAATTAAATAAATTATAAATTACAGCAAGGTTTTGCTCATGGGGATCTTCTGTGAACTTCAATAGCTTCAACTCAACCATCACCTTCATCGAAAAGTCGCCGTCTCCTTCACCGAAAACGGAAATCTTTTTCCACATTTCGGGAAGATGGCGACCTCAATCACATCTCTGGTAGTAATCCACAACCCTAATTCTTAATATCTCTGCTTCTGTCATACGATTTCTCTTAATTATTTCATGGATTGAATTCGTTTCATTTTAATATTTCAGTAAAATGTTGATCCGTTTTCAGTTCGTCCAAGTACATATCAGGTGGAAACCATTAATCCTTCGTCTTTGATTCCTAAGAAGCTTGGTAAATCTACTTTATTATCAAGCTTTCACTCACGATCACTGCGGCTAGCGTCTTCCTCGAAACGCTCCATAGAGAGAAAATCTGGTAGCTTGGTTAGCTCTCAGGTCGGTACTATTTTATGCATTTCTACTATTAACTCTATGATAAATGAGGTGACAGAAGAACAATGGTGACTTAGGGCTCTAAAACAAACCGAATGAACTAGAACGGAGGCTTGTTCATCTTCGTTCGTTTAACTTAAACGGAACACGAACGGTAACCAAACAAAATTATTTGTGCTCATGCAAGTTCTTTTAGGAATTAGATGTGTTCGTGTTCGTGTTAAAACGAACAGACTAATTAGGGTAAACTAACATAAAAGTTCCAAGTTTTATTGAATCTTTTTCTTATTTAAATTTAGTTTTCTATCTTTGTGGCTTGTGTTGTCAAAAAGTGATACTTCTAGATTGTTATGAAGCTTTACATAATTCGCATTTCTTTCATATCCAGGAGGTTCTTTTACAGTCAAAAGTAACCACCAAAGTATTCTTTGATATAAGCATTGGGAACCCAGTTGGGAAACTTGCAGGGAGGATTGTGATTGGACTTTTCTGTATGTTTGTTGATCATCCCTTTCCAGTTTATGCCTCATCATCTTGCCTTTTGTTTCTATCAGGAGAGAAAGGTTTTGCTTACAAGGGTTCTGCATTTCATCGTGTCATTAAGGATTTCATGATTCAAGGAGGAGAATTTGACTAGGGAAATGTAGGTGATTTCTGTCCTTTCTTACGTTCCCTCCCAATATAATTTCAGAATTACTGGATTTGGATCATTTCTTTTGCTAGTTATAACTGACCATATGGTCAACATTGATTTTGTTTTGTTTGCTTTGCAGTAAGGTTGTATTCTTTTTCTTGAAGTTCTTTGAAATCATAAAATCAAAAGACTTGGGTCTCATTTGTTTTGGTAATTTAGCATTTTCATTTATGGGTCTTATTATGTCATTGAAAAAAAGTAAAGATGATTACAAGTTTGAGATATAATGCTGAGGAACAAATATGGATGGCATGCTAAGGAAAACAGGGGAGAAAATAAGGCATTGTTTCTAGATAAGGAATCAGGTTTCACTTAAACAAATGAGGGTTGTTGCCTTTCATGTATTTCTTTGGCTCCGACGTTGAACTGTGTCCCCAATGGCACTTCCACGATAGGAATTTCTTTGTTTCATATTGTCCAATTGACAATTCCCTTTGGCTCTTCTACGTAACTTGGCTTTTTCATTGACTTTGATCTTGTCTAAAGGGATTTCATTGTAATGAGAGTAGAACGGGCATAAATCATAGTTCTTGATTTCTCCTCACTGTTTATTATGTCCTTTGAAATACAGAAAGCAGAAATATATATACAGAAGAAACTGAACTAACTCCCACGAAATTAGGAACAACTAGACTACTTCTAAATTATCTCCAACAACTAGATAAGCACAATAAAATAACCACCGAATGTACCACATTAGGATTCAACACTCCCCCTCAAGCTGGGTTATGTATGTCAATCATACCTAGCTTGGATTGTAACTCTTCAAAAACCTGTCTGGGCAGTGCCTTAGTAAGAATGTCTGAAGTTTGTTGCTTTGATGGTACGAACTCCAGCTGAAGCTCTCCTTCCTCTAGCTTCTCTTTAATGAAGTGTCAGTCCAGCTCCACATGTTTGGTTCTTTCGTGATGTACAGGATTTTTTGCAATCTCAATTGCTGCCTTATTGTCACAGCACAGCTCCATTGGATCAGATGGAGTAAATCTTAACTCGGTTAGCATCCGTTTCAACCAAATGCCTTCACAAATCCCATGACACATTGCTCTAAACTCTGCCTCTGCACTACTTCGGGAGACAACAACTTGTTTTTGGCTTCTCCAGGTTACTAGGTTGCCCCATACATACGTGCAGTATCCGGTGGTAGACCTTCCGTCCATGCTTGAACCCCCCAATCTGCATCTGTGTATACTTGTAGTTGCCTATCGTTTGTTTTCCTTATGAACAGTTCCTCACCTGGACTTTGCTTTAAATATCGCAGAATACGAAACACTGCCTTATGATGGTCTTTTGTAGGCTGATTCATGTACCGACTTACCATTCCCACAGCAAAACTTATGTCTGGTCTTGCATGGGCCGAGTATATAAGTTTTCCAACCAATCTTTGATAGCTACCCTTATCAGTTGTCTTTCCATCCCTACTTTGATGTTTTCCCAATGGATCCATTGGGGTTGTAGCCGGCTTACATCCCAACATTCCTGTCTCCTTCAATAGATCAATGGTATATTTTCTGTGAGTTAAGAAAGTACCTTTGCGAGATCTCGCCACTTCCATGCCTAGGAAGTATTTTAATCTTCCTAGGTCTTTTACTTCAAATTCTCGTGCAAGGATATCCTTTGATGATGTATTTCTTCAGCATAATCACCTGTTAAGATGATATCGTCTACATAAATTATCATTATAGCTCTTGCTCTGGTCAAGGAATCCTTGAAGAACAAGGTGTGATCGGTTTGGCACTGACTAAACCCAAGTTTCTTCACCACTTATGTCAGCCTTTCAAACCATGCCCTTGGTGATTGTTTTAGCCCATAAAGTGATCTTTTGAGTCTATATACCTTACCAAACGAATCCTTGAGTATATTCCTGGTGGCACATCCATGTACACCTTTTCTTCAAGTTCCCCATTAAGGAACGCATTTTTGATGTCAAGTTGATGCAACGGCCAATCTAGGTTAGCTGCAACTGAGGGTAAGACTCGAATCGAATTAAGTTTGGCTACAGGTGCAAGTGTTTTCCCGTAATCGACTCCCATATGATTGGATAAACCCCTTCGCCACCAACCTTGCTTTGAACCGATTTATGGTTCCATCTGCATTATACTTCACTGTGAACACCCACTTGCACCCCCACAGTTTTCTTACCAAGAGGCAATGTTGAATATTCCCGTGTGGTGTTCTTTTCAAGTGCCTTTAGTTCCTTGTTGACAGCAGACTTCCATTCAGGATTATTCAGATCCACTTGTATATCTTTTGGAATCATCATGGATTCTAACGATGTCACAAGGGCACTATGAGTAGCCGACAGGTTAGGAGTCATAAAGTTGCTGATGGGATGAGTTGTGCATGACCTTTTCCCTTTCCTTAGAGCAATGGGTACATCCAGATCATCAGGCTTATTCACGAGACCATCATCCAAAGAATCTTCTCCAACAACATCATTATTAGTGTTATCACCTGCAGAGTGAGTAGAAGTCATATCTCCCTGCATTTCAGCCTCAAATCTCGGATTAGTCTCCTGGCAGTGTGTGGTACCGACCTCTTCTCTCCTTTCACCTTTATGTCGTCTCGAGTATACCAAGGTTTCTTTATGGGTTGCTAGATTAGGTGTTTCAATAGGTTGTTGGGTGTTGGGAGAGGGATTCTGAGAAATCGGGACAAGCTGCAGTTGGTAAAACAGAGTCTGGATGTTCAGGAGTGTTTTGTGGCTGATTAGAGTGACTCAGGAGGTGAAGTTTGTGACTAAGTATGATATTCCATGGAAATATTCTCCCCCTGAATCTCAGATTTGGTGAAAAATGGTTGGTTTTCAAAAAAGGTGACATCCATCAAGTTATATACCTTTTTGACAACTAGAGTAACCCAGAAAGATACATTTGAGAGATTTAGGATCGAGTTTGCTACGGTTTTGTGGTGGTACATGAAGGAAGGTTGTGCATCTGAATACTTTAAGAGGAACATTTGATAAGAAACGGATGTAGGGATAAGTGAGGTGATAGTTGAGTACTTTGGATGGCATGCGGTTTATCAGATATGCCGATGATAATATGGCATCTCCCCATTTTCTTGTGGAGTGCCAACCACGAATTGGGGTGAATGATCCCATTATCTTTGAGATGGGATCCTAGGTTTGACTCAAAAAATTCAGTTCCATTGTCTGTTTTCAAGACTTGGATCTTTGTGTGAAACCGGGTTTCTATCATCTTATGGTATACTTGGGATATACTTATCACTTCGGAATTGTCTTTCATGAGAATTAGGTATCACGGGCTGCTTCCCATATCTCCTTGGCAATCTTGTAATACATAAAGTTCTCACTAGTTTCATGGGTCATGGAACTCAGTAACCAAGGCATTACTGAGTGTGACCATTGATTGTAGTTGTGGCCGGCAAGTTTGTGTCCAGTAATCGGAATGTTCCCACCTTCAATTAGAGTGGGTGTTGTATTCGACATAGGTGTATGTCGAGAAGTCTAGGTGGAGCTGTTGTCATGGGTTTCACTCGTCATGGCTGTTCTCCCGTATTTAGCCATCAGGTTGACGATTTGAGTGCGTGGTAGATCAGATCTGCTCTGATACCATAACGAGAGTAGACCCAGCAGAAATCATAGTTCTTGATTTCTCCTCACTGTTTATTGCATCCTTTGAAATACACAGAGCAGAAATATGTATACAGAAGAAACTGAACTAACTCCCACGAAACTAGGAACAGCTAGACTACTTCTAAATTATCTCCAACAACTAGATAAGCACAATAAGATACCACCGAATGTACCAGCTGCCCAGATTAGGATTCAACACATTGCTTCATGCCTTCATCCGTTAAACATATCCTCCAGGTGGATACATGAAATGTATCATGAATCTTTGGAATTCTGGTGCTAATGCCGACAATAGACTGCTTCCTCAACTTGTTGAAATATCTTGAAACGGTCCAATATATCATGGACTTGGTTTGCCTTGTTAATCTTATCAAACCTTCCAAGATGCTACTTTCAAAACACTTCATCTCCAACTTGGAATTTGATATGCTTACCAATCTGCAGAATTTCCAACTCCTTTTTACTGTACTTGTCAAGTAATTACTGTGCCTTGCTTTTATACTTGCAGGGAATGGGTGGTAAGAGCATTTACGGCAGGACATTTAAAGACGAGAACTTCAAACGTGAGCTGATCAACCTTTTTTGTAGATTAAATATATGTACATACTTCTCAAGGATTCAGTAGAACAATAAATTAAATTTATACGGGATTGATGTATTTATTGAGACTTCCTGTGTGAAATTCGCATCGTGTTCTTCAAAGCAGTGTATATTGTGTATTAATACATCCACTGCCAAAATCTTGCAGTAACTCATACTGGACCTGGAATTGTTATTTGTTAGCATGGCAAATGCAGGGCCCAATACTAACGAAGTCAATTCTTCATATGCACCACAGTGGTATGCTTCATTTCCCATTACTTTGCAGTTTCTGTTTCAGTATGTGGAAATAGGACATCATTCTGTGCTATACTATGCTCTTGATTAGTTCATAATGTGGTTAGAGTTCGAAAAATTAGAACCCGTTAGTTTATCCATGAGGAACTTGAGGCAAGTTGTCTAGTTACCTTCCTGATTTAGGGTTTTATTAGTGTTATTAGATAGATATGACACCCCCCAACTGCAACTCACTGTAATACTTCCTCCCACATATTTAGAGTAGCAATCTAAGAGACTTGAACCAAATGTGACAATTGTTGCTCTGATCAGTAATGTGTCAAGTCCAGTTTCTTTTTCTTTTTTTTGAGTATATAATATATATAGGGTTAGGTTCGGGGGAAAATCCCGCAGAAAATGAAAAACTGAGGAACACTTTGCTAACCATTCATCTGGACGGTATGTACATGCGCATACAAGTAACTTGTAAGCAATTTGTCCGGTATGCACATGTGCCTAACAGTTTTTCATTCTTTTGGGAGTTTTCTCCTGAACCTCCCTTTGATATATGTCCATCCCCTCCACTACTTGCCCAAACACAACATGCCTTTCATCCAACCAAGATATAGAGGTGATCGCCCAAGAAAGAGAGTCATTTTATCACTGATTCTGGTGAACTTCCAACGCTCTGAAGCTTTTCACGCAGCAATCTCTACATACATCTTATTGACAGAGATATACCAAGTATGTTTGGTTTTACCCTTGTTTTCGCTCTAATATTGTTTAAATAAATAAACAACTTATTTATTTATGTTTTTCTAAATGATTTACAAGGTATCATCGTATGAACATGTGAAGAATATACAACAGAGCTCTATGATGTGACAAAACAGACTTGACAGAAAGAAAGAAACTATGTGAAGAGAGTGACGACATCTCTACGATAACCTCGAACAATCAAAATCCTAGGAACATTTTCCACCAACAAATCCATATACTCCATGTAGAAATACGATGGATGGTTGAGTGGCGGCGGCGGAAGGCTGACGAGCACCACCGCAGCCATTCTCGAGTGGCTCATGATGGTAGAGTTCAGCTTAAGAGTTGTGTAAAGAAATTTATCCACCTGCTGTTCATTCACAACCACATTCTTCCCATCCGCCATCAGCGGTTTTCCTTCCCTCTCCGCCCTCTCCCGCATCTCCTTCAAGTAATCTTTAATCCGTCCTTGAGCTTCTGTAAACGCATCCAACGATTCATCCTGAGCCAACGATCCTCCGATCCGGTGGTCCCACGACTTCATCGATATCACAATCACATCCGCTTGCATTCGCAGATCATAAAGAAACTTCTTCACATCCGCCTTGAGCTCCTCCGCATCAGAATCCTCCTCCGCCGCACAAAAAACCCGCACCTTACAGCTCTCGAATATCTCTTTCGTTAGCAGAAGCTGAGATAAAAGTAGCATTAAACCACCATCTCTAACAATCCAATACAGATCAATCATACCATATTGTCGTTGATACTCGTTCGGCCATTCATCAAGCCCTTTCACTATAACAACCGCTTTGTTAGCAACAATACAATCATTGATTATCGACACAAAAGTAGCTGGAATCTCCGTCAAGTTCTCCCGACGCCAAATCTCAGGATACCGTATCACCACTATATTTGGCTTAAGATTACCAAGTCCCATAGTTTGAACAATGCCCCGGAAACCATCCGACATTGTGGGGGCGACTATTATTTCCGCCACACCTTCACATCGTCTGTAATCAGTGTATGCAGCAAGCTGCTTGCAGGCAGTTTTGGCATCTTCAGCACACTCATGGTAGTTCCCATCCAGAATAGACACAAATATAGACATCCCCCTTCCCTTTTTCTTCATGCAGTTGGCAAAATCGGCAAGCTTCGGATGGCAGGGTACGTTTTCCGGTAGCTTACCCCATGGTCGACAGAAAATGAGCGGTATAGGGTACCAGTTCTTTGGATGAACTTGGTTCGCTGTAACCATTTAGAAAAACCGAAAACCCAATTCATCTTTTCATGAAATAAAAAATTCTACTATGTAAAAAAACAATTGAAACTGACCTCCTAAAGATCGAAGACTTCGAAGAGCTAGTTGAAAATAAGCACTCTTGAAACCATCTCCCCAGTCCCCAGCTTTTCCTTTGATGCTCACATAATAGTATATCAGGCTAGCAAGAGCCAGTGCCACGACAGTGAATAACCAAGAAATCAAAAACATGATTACTGCAACCAAAACCAAATTCAAATTAAGGTTATAATAGAAAAATCACTAGAAAAAAGCAGCTTATTATTAGAAAAGAATTGAAGTATCTACCAATACAAAGACATGCTCCAAATAGAGAGGCACTCCAGTGATGAAATTTCCAGCGAGGACGCCAACTAGGAGCATCTAAGAGATCGAGAAGAAAGCAGGATAAGTTGACACCCGCATAACACAGAAGATAAAACATGGTTGTGGTTGGAGAGATAAGATCAATATTCCCAATTACAACACACCCAATACATAGGAATGCCGTAAACAGAGTTGCAACATGAGGTTCATCACCATCTGGAACCTTGAAGTAGTTAAGAACAGGTAGGATGTTATCGTTAGCAATTGCTGCAAGGAGACGTGGGGCACCTGTAAGGCTTTGTAGAGCCGCACCCAATGTTGAAAGAATAATGCCTACATATATCATCGCTGATGATGGCCAAGCAATGGCAGCTGTCAGTAATCTGTATAAATAAATAAGAAGTAACAGTCATACCCTTCCCAGAAAACTTCTTAATATGTTTCCTTTTTCTTGAAAAGAAGTCGGATCATAAAACAGTCACCTGTCAGTTAAAAGTTTATCCCTTGTAGCAACTGATCCAAAAAGAAGTGCAGATATTATGTACATGGTAGTAGTTGTCAGTGTCGCAGCTAGCGTCCCAATAGGAATGGAGTGCTGGGTGTCCTTCAATGAAGCCGAGCGATTAGAACCAGCCATAATTCCCGTTACAGCAGGGAAAAAAAGCCCTACCAATGCACTGTTGGAACACCCAAAAAGGTATCAAAAGCCATTCACCCCAATAGATATTTCCTAAAAACTAATTCACCCAAAAAGGTATGAAAAGTTTAATAAACCCGAAACAAGAGAGCATTCAGATATGCTAGGACATTACTTTTGAAACAGGCTGTGGCACAAGTTAGTTTTATATGACATGTATCTGGTGACCTGGTTGGACAAGAGCTGCCAAAGAAGGATATATTTTGGTATTTTAGCAGCTTAAGGAGCTTAATGGGACTTGCAGCTTATTCGGTCAGCTATATATGATTGTTTGGTAGTGGCTTAATGATATAGAAATGACTTATTCAGTAAGCTTTCAGGGAGGAGCTTTATGCAGGAAGTCAAGTTTTTTCCAAAGCTGCTCCTCCCCATTAAAAAACACACTTCTTTTTTCTATGAAAAACCCTTCCAAACAAAAACCATCACAATTTATAGCGACAGCTTTATCCATACAAGACGATGTTAATCATATTAATATGAATTGGTGCTTTGGAAACTTACTTGAAGGTCCAGTATCTCTCTCCGTCAGGATCAGGTATCCCAACGTCATTTGTTGTTTGATAATCAGAACCCCAGTTATCTCTAAAAGAATTCAAACTCAAGCCCGTGACTCCAACTACATCAAACATTCAAGAAAGTATGGGTATCATTATACTTGACAGAGAAAATGAGCTCAAAGATTTGGAATGAAACCATACCTGGATTATCCCTCCTTGCCAGAAGTATCCCAATGAAGATGCAAAGCAACGAGACTAAAACAGGTATAAGAAAGGCTGGTGCGACCTTGTTAATCGTTTTTACACCACCAAAAACTATAAAAACTAAAATGATTGTGACGACAATCCCATAAATTTGAAGGTCATGTACACTTGGACTAGTAATAGGTTCAACTTCTGAACCATCTATTTTTGTGACAGTCTCTGCATCAAAATACAATCCCTCAATACATTTAGACATCAAATATGAAACCAACTGAAAACCTTTATCTGACTAACCCATGCTGAATGTTTAGGACAACATTGATTGCCAATCAAAAAATGCACTTTGCAAGAAAGCTTAAAGGTCTAGTAATTACTTCCACACACTCTAAGATCCCACATCAACTAAGGTGATTTTATGAGGGACTGGATACCGGCCAGGTGTGTAAACAAAACAGACAATATTTCACAATCTGAAACAACAGGCTGCTCCAATAACTTCGAATCCAATTTAAAACCATGGTGAAAGTTATTGGTAGCCTACAACTTGAGGCTTATAAGGAGCTCACAGATCCCATTTCCTATCCACGTGGGACGAGTTGTTACACACACGCAGCCAAATTTAGAAGTTTTTAGAAGTTCACTGCAACTTGTTAGTTACCTCTAAAGATCCCAGCTTTTGGCACAGCAGATAGAAATGTCTCCACTGCTCCCAGCACATACCTACAAAAAAGTTGAGTACATGTTAGTACAGCAAACATGATACCAATTACAGTAAGCAACTCACAATATATGCTCACATGGCACCGGCAATTGCATTCCCTAAAAAGAAACACAGTCCTATGCTGACTCCAACTTCAGGCCCCAAAGCACGACCAATGAGATAGTAAGGTCCCCCACCCTAAAGGAAAATAAATCAGGATTAGTTTCAAGTTTATACCCACTTTATATAGCTACGAATATTTGTTAGTCTACAGAGACACATGTGAAACAAACTAAGCATATCATAGGAAAAGCTTTGCGGCTTTAGACCGGGAAACAATGAAAACACAGAGGGAATAAATACCCACCTTCATTGCACCATTAGTTGCAATTGCACTCAATGATACAGCAGTCAAGAAAGTACACAAACCACATAAGGACACTAACAATAGGGATTGACTTATGCCAGCAATGCCAACAATCCTGCAAAGTTTTCAAATTCACAGTATAGTCAGAATTCCTTCAGCCATGTCCAACATTTCAGTTTCAGAATAAATGAATCTGTAAATATGCAATTTGGTCTTATACATGTTGAAAAAATTACATGGAATTTTGACATTTCTAACCCCATTCAACGTATGAACACAAAAAAGTATACCAAGAAAATCGGATGTAGTAGATGATTCCCAAAATGTTCTGCAAGCATGGGATAAAGACTCCCATCATTGTCCCGAATTTGACTTCATTACGAACCTGCATTGAGTAAAGTCCATATAAACCACCATCGCATAGGCTGTAAAATCATGGCCACACAAGAGAATACATCAACTCTTAGAGTGAGAACCTTCAAAAGTCTTTCTCAATGCATCAACAAGCATTTTACTGAAAACCACTTGGGGTAGACTGGCGATAAAATGCAATTCATCATTAAAGGAAAGGATATCTCTAGTTCTGGTTTAGTACCTTTGGATGCTGTTCAGCAGTAGAACGATGCTCACCGCTTCTAGGACTATTAGACACAAGGCTCTGCTCCCCAGTCATGCTGAGATTGGAAGCTCGGAACATCAGTTTTGTAACTTACAGTGTCAAAAATAACATATAAATGAGGTAAGAATACAATAAGTTAACCTTAAAACCAACTTCACCAAAAGCCAAAATTTTCTTTTAGGGTGTGTTAGGTACGTAGACTGGGTGGGACCGGACGGACGAAAATAACGAGTGTGTCATGTTTGGCATGCCATGGGACAAAAATAAGGTTGGACAACATGGGACAAAAATGAGTTTTCATGGGACTATTCTTGAGTTTTTTTGTTCCAACTAAATCTTGAGATTACAATTTTACCCTTATTAGATCACATCAGATACAAAACCTAATTATAAACTCCATCGCCTCCATCTTTTTTCATCTTGCAGCTTGATTATGGCCTCCATCTTCCACGAACTCCAAATCGATTCCACACTCCAACTTCCACGAGCTCAAACTTGATTCCAGATTCGGGTAAAATTTCTTCTCCATCTTCCATGGTTGTCGATTTCTCCATACTTTCCTGCACCAAATCGATTCCACGAACTCCAGCTTCCCCCAAATCGATTTCTCCATACTTTCCATGGTTGTCGATTCCACGAACTCAAAATCAGTTTTCGAAATTGATTGGCTATTGTTGCTTTCTTTGTGATTTTGATTGGCTACTATTGTTTTGAGAGTCGATTGTGTTTGTTTCATTGATCTGTAGCCTATAGTTGTTAACTTATGATGGAATTGAAATTATTCTTTTCGAAATCGATTGGCTACTGTTGCGAGGCTTTGTGAGTTTTCATGGGACTATGAATACAGAGTAGAAAGCACAGATAACTCTATTTATTATAAACAATTATAGCAGAATACAGAGTAGAAAGCACAGATAACTCAATTTATTGTAAACAATTATAGCAGAATACAGAGTAGAAAGCACAATGGATGCAGATTTTTAGCATTTGCATATTATGATGGTGATGTTCATGTGAGATATTATTGGTATCAGCTTTATTATTTGATCAGCATTTAGGGGCAATCTGGTCATTTTAACAATTTTGTCATGTCATGTCCTGTGCAGCTTACCAAACGCATGACAGACAATTAGTCCAATCATGTTTTAACAGACAATTAGTCCAGTCATGTCTTGTCTCACATAGCAAACGCTACCTTGGAGAACAATAAGCAACCCAAGTGCAATTCCATGTTTGGAGGAGAATGACCAAGAATGCATTCACATTTCAGACAAGTACAAATTAGAGCTTCCCTCTTATTTGGAGGAGAAGGACCAAGAATGTATTCACATTGTAAGTTGAGCGATTAAAGACAGAAAAAACATTGAACAAGTTGTGAGTGCAATACGTTAAGAATAGGAAATAGAAGCAATTGGTACCTTTTAAGACCAAGAATATTTACAAGAGAATCAAATCCAAATAATTCAAGTTTAGATTCTCCCCGAGCACTATTTGCTTCTCTACCACCTGCACCCATGCTTGGCTGCCTAGTTTTCACTCTCCTGGCATACATAAAAATAAGCTTCAAGATATTAGCAGACCAGAATGCATACGGATTCAAAAGTAACAGAATCACTTTTCTACTACAAAAAAACCCAACCCCTCTTTGGCATCACAACAAATTTGTTGGTTACCCTTTGGTCCTGGAGTAAGTAGTAGTAGCTACTAGTTATGCACATTTCTTGATGTCAAAACTATACAACTTCAATCTGCTGACTCAATTTCGCTTTGATTCTTTCTTCCCAAGTAATATAAATGTATACTGTGACAAATGAAACCTAAAAACACATGAGAGTGAGAGAGAGAGAGAGAGAGAGAGGTGTGGGAAGAAAACTAACTTCAAGGAATTATTGGCCTTAGATGACGATCCAGGATCAAATGAGGACATCTCGAGGACGACGGGATCATTATCGTGGGCGACGACTGCGACTGGGCCGTAACTCCGATCTCCTGGTCGTGCCGGCGTGGGCATGTCGTCGTTGTCAGAGGCTTCCATGTCTTCATTCCTCATTTAGTCTCCTGAATTATCAAGAAATGAACAAAAAAAGGGGATATTTGTATATATGAGAGATAGAGAGAGAGAAAGAATGAAGGGGCAGAGAGAAATGGCGATGATTTCGTGTTTATGATCTTAAGAAATGTCTCTGGAGATTGAAACGCCTTTGAAGGAGGAAGGATGTTCTTCCTTTTGAATAGAGAGCTAAAAAATAGGAACAAAAAACTGTGTCTTTTTATTTCTCTCTTTATCCGATTTCTTTATTTTTATAATTCAATTTCAAATTAATAAACTTAAAAAACCTTAATTTATATAGTAAAAAAAAACCCCTAAAAATTGAGTGAGTGTCGCAGGAGCAGGCTGTTGAACATTTTGGCAGGATAGATAACAAAAAAGATGAGAAATTAACAGAAAAAGCTATTCTGCAATTTGAGAACCATAAAAGACCAACGAAAATTACTCATTAGAGTTCTGAAAAGCCAAAAACAGTATACAACACATTAAAAACCATGACATCAAACCTTGATACTTTTGGCTTCTTGCTATTTATTTCCTTACACCATTCATCCCTAAAATCACCAAGCCAATGAATCTCAAATTCTCCATAAAAACTAAAATAAATAAAAAAGAAACAGCCGTCCATCACTGCTCTGAACCAACATCGCCCCATCGAACCTTGTATCTAGCCGCAAGATAGTGGGACCCAACCGGACCCCGACTGCCATACGGGTAGTATTCTGGTACAATCTTCTTGTCTTCCAGCTCCTTAAGTACAGGAGTGAATAATGACCAGGCTGCATCTAATTCATCACTCCGTATGAAAAGTCTTCTTTCTCCTTCGATCGCATCAAGAAGAAGTCTTTCATATGCATCAGGAATCTCCTTTGAATACCTATTCAAACAAATTACATTTCATACTTAAAATGGTATAGAAAGTGGCGTATCAATAAGCTTCTAGTGGTGCTTTATGCAAAAAGCCAAGTTTTTTTTTCGAAACAATTAAAAAACATGTTCTGTCCATCTATGAAAAAGCGCTCTCAAACATTAATCCACACAAACAACCTTATTCATATAGAAAACCAACCAAACAGCCCCTTATACCAACTAAACTAGGTTCTGAAATTATATAAGATTTTCCTTAAATGGGTATAAGGTTACCTTGCTGCATAGAGAAGATTAAGGTTACTACGGTCCAATCTCATCCCCAAACCAGGAACTTTGTTGTTGATCTTGAGATATATAGCTTCATCAGGCTGCACACGAATAACAAGCTCATTCGTTGCTAGGTCAAGATCCGTCCCAATATTCTTGTTATACAAATTACCCGGTACATGTCTGAATTGCACTCTTATTTCAGCCCTGTTGGATGAAAAGAACCAAAGGCCGTAAGTGATCTCATTTAGCTATTTGTTAAATGCCTAAACCATCATCCTTTCTTTAATCATAACAATATATAAGCTTTAAAAGATTATTGACCGATGAGAAAGGACAAATAAATAAATAATTAATAACGAACCTACGATCATGCAAAGCCTTCCCCGCCTTCATCAAAAAGGGAACACCATCCCATCTAGCATTATCAATAAAAAGAGCCGCAGCAGCAAAAGTTGGCGTTAGACTGTCGCTAGGTACAGTCTTGTCATCAACATAAGCTGGGTATTTGACACCCCCTCTTGTGTGACTCTTGTACTGTCCTGTTACTACATCATCAAGTCGCAAAGGCCTCATGGAACGTAAAACTTTGACCTGTTAACCATCAAAAGTTTCAATCTTATAATTGATTTAGTTTAGTTTGCATGAACAACAGATTTTGGACAAAAAAGGTCAAGTAAAATGGTTCTTTTTTTTGCGTTTACATCCATCCATGACTTGTACAAAATAACTCGTTTTGCAGGACTTTTGCAAGAACAATGGTTCGTTTGCAACCAAAAACCAAGTACAATAGTTGGAAATAAATTTATCATAAATGTGAAACCTTTTCGTTTCTGATATCTTCTGCATCCAAGCTGACAGGGGTTTCCATGGCAAAAAGAGCTAATATCTGAAGCAGATGGTTTTGCATAATGTCTCTAATTATTCCATAATTGTCAAAGTATCTATAAGAAAAGCAAATGAACAAGGTAAACAAATGCCCCTCAAGCATACCCAAATGAATTTGCTGCGATAAAAGGGGAGGAAAACAATGATTACCCTCCTCGTCCTTCAGTGCCAAAATCTTCGGCAAATATGAACTGTACATTCCTTATATATTGTCGTGACCACAGCGGTTCAAAAATTAGGTTGGAAAAGCGAAGAACCGAAAGATTCTCCACTAGCTCTTTTCCAAGATAATGATCTATCCTGCAAAATATTACAAAATTTAAGCAAATTTAAAACTTGTTCCATTTTCTTCAATAAGATATGCTAAAAAATCGCTAAACCTACCTGAAAATTTGATCTTCATCCAAGTACTGCTTGAGGGACCTTGTTAATGCAGCAGAGGATTCAGAATCCCGGCCAAATGGCTTTTCAACGATGACCCTTGTCCAACCATTTGCAGAGGACGCAGAACAGCTGGCACATTTAACTGCGTCTATGAAAATATTTGGCGGAATTGATAAATAGAAAAGACGGTTTGCAACCCTTCCGGCCTACATCAAAATTAACCGTTGTCAAAATAAAATATTGCAACAAGTTGTTTAGCCAACTCCACTAAGCCATTTCAAGTAATCATCTAAATGTAAACTAGCTTTCCAAACAATCATACTAGCATTTTTTATTTGTTGCAAACTGAAAAGAAAAATAAACATACCAAAATTTTCAGGAATAAACGATCCTGCACAGAAAAAGTGTCCAAAATCACTTATTCCTGCAAACTATAGTTTCATATTGGCATTTTCACAAAAAGATAGTCTACAAAAAGTAATCGAATACGATGGTTTGAAAAGTGAACAACTTGTTTGCAAAGGGTGTTATTGACTAACAAATGATACACTTTAAAAGATCGACCAGAAACTACTTCAATAAATTTGCAATCTTTAGACTTGACTCACAGTTGTAATTTAGAAGTCTTTCCAACGATAAAACCTGTAAATCCTCATACTGCAGTATATTACCTCATGTTCCTTGAGCTTTTTGTCCAGCTCCAAGAAGTTTTCTTGAGAGTCGTATTGACCTGGATGGTAAAAACATCTTTCAAGAAACTGATCCATCTTTTCACCACAATTCTCCCTAAAAGAAGTCATTCAAACAAACCCAATAAACACCCTTTAACTTGCATAAAAAAAAACAATATAAGAATCAAATAAACAAAAACAAGAAATAGAACTGCCTTCACCTTTGATCAATTCTGCAAGTAAGTGTCTTGCTAACCATGGTTCTAAGTTCAGCATCAGTCATCTTACTTCGTGCATATCCAAATATTGTGAAATGCTGTCAACAATTGCCAAAAATAAAGCAATCTTATGCTAACGCACAATATGTTGAGCTTAACTTTCGAACTATAGAAAAGCACAAACCTCAGGAAGGCAACCTTCATAATAAAGTGCAAAAAGTGCAGGAAAGATCTTCTTTTTGGCAAGGTCACCTGAAGCTCCAACCACTGTTATGCTAACAGTAGACTTGTCTTTGTTGAAATCAAAACTAGCAATATCTATGCTTTCTTCCGGAGGCGTGACAGGTGGCACGGATAATATTCCATCTTTCAATATCTTAACAGGACCATCGTTTTCAACAGGAGATGCTTTCATGCTTTTAGCACCTAAACATAATCAATATGCACATAAGAGCCAGGAAATCCATATTCCCTCTAATCAAAAGGTCATTAAATTGCTCAAAGATTGTCATAAGTTTATGCACTTGTATACCACACCCACAAAAATTAAATTGAATTCAAGAGATGTGTTAGAATATTGGTACGTACATGTATCGGAGCACGACCAAGTTCACGCACACACACACACACACACACATAATCACATGACTCATTTGTTGAACAATTAAAAATCAAAAGAAAACTCTAATTTCGTAATGGAGGTAAGATATCATATTATAAAACAGAATAAATGTAGACCCGGAATCATAATCATTGAAAGATTTTATTGAGCAAATAAATGATGTTATGATAAAAAGTTTCAAAAAAGAATACATTGAAAGATTTTATTGAGCATCCCACGAAAGATGTGATTTCATGGGACAAAGGAGGTATAAATTAAGCACATACTTAACCCTAAGTATAAATTGTGAATTTCTTCGGTACATCTTAGAAGAAGACCAACAGCATCTCTCACATGTCCCCAAATCCCATATTCTTGTGCTTTCGAGGTCAACAATTTGGCAATATGGTCAAACCCCCACACCATGCACACCCTGCCAAACCCCAAATAACTCCAACCAAAAAGCACCCTATAAGGGGTTTGGCAAAGGATCGAACCACCCATGCTTCCTAGTTTTCTGGCAGCTAACAAATCCTTGTGATTTCTCTTGGACCCTAGTCTTATACATAGTTTTGATGTTGTTCCTTTAGCAAACAACTTTGTCAACATCCAAACCTCGGATGTTGTATGTTGACATGGAAAAGTGCATCCCATTTTTTCTCCTGAACAAATTCATAGTTCAAGATTAACAACATAGAACTTGACAACATAAGGATTCATGGGTAATTGTCCATATCATAATAGGAACAAGCCCAACAGTCAAAACAGATGATGATCAGAACAAATGCACAAAACTATCTTAAAATCCACAAAAACCTAGTTCCTCCCCTTCAACAACACATATAACACAACCCCCTTTCAGAAAAACGCCCACTTGTGATTCCAAATTCAAAATTGATACAAAGATTATTATTTCAAAGAAACCCCAATATGGTTCAAATTCAGTACTTTTTTACAGTTAAAAATTAATCCTTCCCCCAAAACTTAAAATCAAATGCAACCTAATATAAACTTAGGGATTGAAAATTAGTAAATATCAAGAATTTGGTAAAACGAATAATGGAAACAAACTGACCATCTTGCACATGAACGGCTTTTGAGAGTGAAACTCCATTAGATGATTGATGTAGATAGAGCTTTGTCGAACGACATCGTTTACGAAGAATCGATGGAAAGGATGTACGTTGAGGAAGACGATTACTCCCATTAATGAGAGACGAATTATTCGAATAAGCCGATGATGATGGACAATGTGTCGATGGAGGATACGTCGCCATGATTCTCGTACACACAGTAAGTGTGTATGTGTGTGTTGACACAGAAAGAAAGAAAGAAAGAAAGATGGTATCTATGGATCGATGACGGATTTAGGAGTTGAAAAGGAGAAGAGGGGTGTTTAAAAGGAAGTTCGGAGAGGTCGAGATGGAGTCCCTTGATATCTCCGAAAGGCTGCCTTTGTCTGTTCGCTTTGGCAACTACATATTACGTCTACGCCGCCTTCTGTTTCTTGGGTACATTTTGGGCTCTGATTCATATATTTACTGGGCTTCATGGGCCTAAAAAAGTTGTAGGCCCCCACACTCACAGCACATAACACAACAAAAACATTTTTATTTTTTAATGGTGTATTAAAATAAAAAATATATATTACTTCATCAAAATAAATAATATAAACAATCCATTTGAAGAAAAAAAAAAACAGGGCACTAATAATTTAATAAATAAGAAGGTTGACATTATTGATGAATTGTATTGACATATTTGTTTATATTTAGGATTTGTTTGTCACTAACTTAATGAGACTCGTAGTTTTATTAATATATGGTTATTAATAGTTGCTTAATGATATAAAATTGACTTATTCAATAAAATTCTAGATGAGAGTTTTATGTAAAAAGTCAAGGTTTTTTCCCATTCCGCCCTTCTCAGTTAAAAATACGCTAATTTCATCTATGAAAAATACCCAAACAAAAAAAAATCAATCTACACAGACAGATTAATCCATACCGACAGCTTTATCCACATAGAATTTAATAGAAAACCAACCAAAGAGCCCCCTACACAAACATAAAGTAATTGATATGCTAAAGGAAAACAAGCAGTGCCTCTATTTATTTTGTCAACCTATTTTGGTATTTTTATGTAGATATAAGAATATATTTAAACAAATAGGATGGTTTAAAAATCAAAGAAGAAAAAACCATTATATATCTTTGCATGTAAAATGTGAGTATTACATTTTATGATCTTACATGTAAATACAAGTCTTAGATAATCATATTATGTCTTTGTGATTTTTTTTTGTGCATAATTACATATGTCCACCCAAGTTTTGTTAAAACATTTTGATACGCCATTTCTTACTAGATAAGGAGCGGAAATATAAGCTAACTAGCATTAGTGTCGACTTTTGATATGTAAGCTCTAAGTTACCACTAATCGAATAAAATGTTGCATATAAAAAGGCTTCTACATTACCTAAAATATATATGTTTAAAGGGAATATGACCCATTTTGGAGTTGACAAAATGTAAAACCCCTGTTATAATTGCAATCATGCATCCATACAGTCTGTTTGAAAATAAATGAACAAGAGATATCTGATTAAATGCATACAAGATGAAGTTAGGATAAACCAATTCAAGAGTACACCATGTCATCGTGACCATGTTATACCAAAATCACAAACTAAGTGATCTTTAAGCACCTTCAACGGTAGACCAATTTATAGCCTACTTGTATTGGATACAACATTGATTGGATTGTAAGAATCCTAAATCTTACAGATAATTAGATTAGATCGGTTTAGTAACAGAGTATACGTTTGAAAGATTCATTGAATTAAATGAACAAATATATATATATATATATATATTATTTAATCATTTTAGATAAATAAAACGAAAATCATAATCAATTTTACAAATATTTAAATAATCCGATACTGTTGTCTCACACACACACCCCCCATGGTGTCCAAATCGCACGTTTGTCACCGCGTAAAGAATATGCCGAAAACCAAAATGAATCGTCCCTCCCGCCCATAACATTTTACATTCCAAGCAACCAATAAAAACCCCCCACGTGTCTTGCCACATGACCAATGTACATTAGCAAAGATCCTCGAACGGTTAAATGACCAGATAAAGCCACGTGTCCAAACCCTCCCGCGTCGTCGATCTATCCGTTAACCCTAATCCCTCTCCCTCCCTCTCTCTCTCACCTCTCGTCCCTCTTGTTTCTCTGCAATTCCTCCGTTGAAGAAAAATTAGGGGAAATTCCAAATTTTGAAACCGAAAGATTTCTTTGATCTTTTGATAAATTCATTCATATTTTGATTAAAATGGGAAAGCTTATATGTGATTCAACGACCTCGTCTCCCGTTATCCCATGGAAAGATCCGACTGCAGCTCCATCATCTATCGATACCATCGCTGCCGTCGATTTATCCGACGAGATCCTCAACGCCGCCACCACCACCTGGGATGACGTCTCAGGATTAGAAGACCAGCAGAAAAGGCACCTACAGAGGCTCCACGCCAAGGGAGTCCTTTGGAAGCACCCAGGGAATAAAATCCCTAATCAATGTCAAAATCAAAACCAAGAAGATGATACTTCCTTGCCTGCGGCGGTAGTTTTCAGGCTTAGCCACGGCGGAGATGTCGAGGCAGATGGAAATTGTTTATTCACGGCTTCGCAAAAGGCGATGGGGCTGACGGAGATTAACGCCAAAGATCTGCGGAGACGGACGGTGCGGCGGTTCTTGGAAGATCTTGGATCTGAGAGCGGAATGGAGCGAGCCAACATTGATGCGGCGATAAAGCATATGTATGCGCCAGATCTAAGATCTGGTTGGGGCATACATGTTGTTCAAGAGGTCAAATTACTTGCGAAGAAGGTAGATCGTGAAAGTTTAGATGCAGCTATCGAGGAACTCGTTAATCTCGGTATGCAGAGGTATAAAAACTATCTACTTATGCACATGTGAATCTTAATCTACATTAATCTATAAGCCCTATATTGCTCTATTTGGAATCGATTTGATTTATAGAGATTGGTAACACAAAAATGTTAGATCTATTTTACATAATATTGTTTTAAGCCTTCAATTGGCTCGAATCTGTGCGAAAATGACTGATACATGGAAATGTGCAAATTGTCGTCCTCATTTTTGCAATGTAACTCAGATCCAAGTTATCTGTGCGAAAATATTGTATCCACCCAAGACAAATACATGAAATTATTTATTATTGAAACGACAAACACACTCAACCATGTCTTATAAGCTTCTCAAACCCACAAGGGGATTCTAGACAACCTGGTATCATCAAATTTTTTCAAATTTTTAGCAATTACGGTAAAGATCATAAATTTGCAAAAGAAACAGAGTTTAGTTGCTAAGCAAGTAACGTTTGGATGTTATTGTGTTGGCATTTTTTTCTTGAAAGTTATACTTGAAATATTTCATTTAAGCTGTTGGTGTTCATTGTAGAGAATTGGCTGCGGAATCTATTTATAAAGAGAGATGTATTGCTGTTGACAATGGTCAAAACTGGGCCAAGTATATGTCAATATCTGGGTCTCCAGATGATGAATATAACATCATCACTTTGCAATATACAGAGGAAGGTTTGTTAACTGTAGATGAAAACAGAGAAGGCCATGCTGCAGCTTTTGGAGATGATATAGCAATCGAATGTCTTGCTACTGAGTTCAAAAGAGAAATTTATGTGGTWTGCTGTMTTTYCTTACTCTCGACTTGCATTTTCTTCAAATGTGTTTTCAAGTGCCTGACTTGGGGATTAATGGTTCTGGTTCTGGTTTGTTATTTCTCAATTTGGTTGTGTAATAGTTATTGAATACAAATAATCATCATCTATCAGTGAAAGTTCTGATTCTTCATTGCGAGGATAACTTTCTAGTGTTTCATAAATTTTTATCAAAAAGAAACATGGCATGCTGAAGATGGGATCCACTGTTACGTCTTTAGTTGTCTCAAACCATGTTATATAATGTGACCCATCAAATGAAAATAAGGATGCAGGCATGGTTGGTTTTATCCAAGATTCAAAATGGTTCTTATATAATTCATTTTCTTTCTACCTGTGGTCATTAAGCATTCAGAAAACTCATATCTTGTAAATCGTTTTGAACCGAAGTTCATTTGAGGTTTATTCTTGGTTTTCAGTCAATGATGCAAAGTTTACGAGGATGATATGCATTCATGCATTACGTTTTGTTCTCCTTTTATCGTCTCAACTTTTTATGGTCTATTTCATTGGTTCTACATCTAAATACAGGTGCAGGCACATGGATCAGATGCTATGGTTGATGAAGATAATTGTGTGTTTTTCCTTCCACATCGTCCAAGGAGTGAAATCTGTGGACCACCTTTCTTTCTATTCATGAAAGGAACAGGTATCAGAACATTTACATCACACATCATCTGCTTGTTATGATTTGTTGCATCTGTTTCTTAAAGACATACTGATAAGAATAAGTACGAAACTGTTATTGTCGTTTATTATTTCATTAATGAGAAGAAAATGAGTATTATTCTCGTCAATATATGCAACTTTAACTTGGGGATTTCAGGGTATTTTATTGTTAAGAGGTGGTTTTTGGTACAACAATGAATCTTGAAATTGTAAAGGTGTTTGTTATCACAGGTTGGTGTGGAGCTGGGGGCGATCACTATGAGCCTCTTATTGCTCACTCTTCCTCGGTGGTATCCCAGGAGAAAGTTGCTTTGGTTCTTTGAATTGGGCGTTGCAGTTTTGGGCGTAGAGAGAGAGATCTGAGTTAGAAATAGGAAGCATTCTTTTCTGAAATTTTTGCTGTGGATGAAGGAAGACATGGATTATTTGTTTCTGGTAGAAAATTATAAAATTTTGGTAAGTGTAGTCGGCTTTTTTGTCGGTGTTGTTGTTGTTGAGTCATGCATTCGAGGGAGGAAGGGGTATAGAATTGTGGTCGAGAGAGTTGGTAGCATTATTGGAATGGTGCCAGTTTGTTGTAACTGCCAGATTTTACTATTTAATGGCAAAATGGGTTTGGAATTCATTTGCATTCCGGTTGGGTTTCTTTATCAATTGTGGTGCGTGTGTTTTTGGTATTCTAGATAGAATAGAATGTATGCCCATGAAGCAATCTGCTGCAAAGACAGCTAAGCCTCCTTTGTTATTCGTCTAAATAAAGGAAAGCAAATCTAAACAACATGGCTCGCTCAACTCACCCTCATGCGCTTTATTCATCAGGATCGAGGTTCTCTTTGTTAACACCTAGTGACTTATTCCGTTCACTACAAATGATTCTTTGGTAATGATATAAAAAGTTATTTATTTATACTATATTTTAAATCTATATCTATATTTATACTATCTTATTAAGCAAATTTAGCAAAAGTCTTAAAATACTAAATGACCAAGATACTATTATCTCACTTTTTCACCATCTCACATTGAACCGATTTTTTTAAAATTATAATTTTAAATTTATACTTTATACCCCTATAATTAGTTAATTAATTTACTTTACGTTCTTTATTTTTAAATGTTTCATTTTAAGTCTTTATCAAATTAACATACATAATTGTATATCAATTAAAACATGTTTAAAAAAATACATTTTTATTTTAACAAGTTACACCATTATAATCGTCTCGTTAATACCTTCGAAATGAGTCAAATATTGAATAGTTTTTGACTTAATTATATTATTATATATTATATATACTGTGAAAAAAATATTTTTAATATTTACGATTTATATCTTTATAGTTATTTATTTAATTTATGATACACCATTTATTTTTACACCATTATCACATTAAAATACATTAGCTAAAATACATTATACTTAATTTATTTATTTTTAAAATTTATTTTTACACTTTTATCACATTAACATACATAAACGTATATTAGCTCAAATACGTTAAAAATACGTTTTATTTTAACAAATTACACCATTATAATCGTCTCGTTAATTTCTTCTAAATGAACTCAATAATTAATATTATTTGATTTAATTATATTATTATAATCGTATTTTCAATACCTTTGAAATGAACACAATATTGAATATTTTTGGATTTAATTATATTATTATCTATCATATATAGTACGAAAAATATATTTTTAATACTTACACTATATACTCTTGTAGTTGATTATTTAACTTTTTAGTATATCCCTAACTTTTCATTTTCATTTTCCATTTTTATTTGACATTCTTATCACATTAATATACATAATTGTATATTAAATAAAATATGTTAACAAAATACGTTTTTATTTTAACAAGTTACACCATTATAATCGTCTTGTGAATGCCTTCAAATGAGATCAATATTTAATATTTTTGGTTAATCATATTATTAAATACCATAACTACATAAATTATTTTTAATACTTACATTTTATACCTTTACATTTATTTATTTAATTTGTTTTATATACATTACTTTTTCATTTTTCGTTGTATGCCCTTATCACATTAACATACATAATTGTATATCAACTAAAATCCGTTAAAAATATGTTCTTGGTTTTTTTTTTTCAAATACACACACACATATATATATACATGTATTAATTCAACCTTAATCTGAGTTTCTGAACAAGAAAGAGGGTAAGTAGTTGAAATTTCATTATAAAACCCATCTTTTTTGGTCTTTTCATGGTTTATGATCTGTCAAATTTGTAGTTTTCTTTATTTGTTTTGAGTGTTTATCTTAAAACTCAAGTTTTCTGGTTCTCTGCTCTTGGTGTAAATCTAACGCATTGTGGAGTCGTTTAAATATGTTAGATTTTAAATATAATGCATTTTAAACTGTCATACAATTTTTTTTATCGATAGTTTGTAATTGAAACAATAATTCTTATTTATTCAAATTGTATTAATATGTAAAGACCAAGTGTAACATATATTATCGTTAAATCTTATCTTATAAAACCATTGAAACTTTAAAATCGTTAAAATTCATGGCTCCCGCCGCATTGCGCAGGTACACAACTAGTCATTTTATTAAAAACTTTTAAAACCCATTTTTATGCTTAAGGTACTGTTTATTAATGCATATTACCTAAAATTAAGATTACAAATAAATTGTACGTAAGTATAACCTATTAAAACTCTATGTTTGAATTCGTTTAACTGATTGTAGATGAATATAGTCAAATACAATATAATTTTTTTTAAATATAAAAAAAAATCTAAAATATAATTA